CCTGATGTTCTGGGCTCATTCACATATTGTTAAGGTGTATTTTGTGTGCATGCTGATCTACCTAAACAGTCAAATGGATTTGAAGAACTATATGTTAACCACTACCCACCGATAATATGTAGGAATTTTGTTTTGTTAACTAAAAATACCTACCTGTGGGCTGAAAAATTAACATATGTATTACTGGATATCTGCCATTACCTGATGTTCTGGGCTCATTCACATATTGTTAAGGTGTATTTTGTGTGCATGCTGATCTACCTAAACAGTCAAATGGATTTGAAGAACTATATGTTAACCACTACCCACCGATAATATGTAGGAATTTTGTTTTGTTAACTAAAAATACCTACCTGTGGGCTGAAAAATTAACATATGTATTACTGGATATCTGCCATTAATGAATATCAGAAAGAAATTGGGCACAAAGCTATCACTCTTACAATGAATTGGTGGCTTAATTGACCATAAAAAGCCCTTTCCTTTCCCACTAATCTGGATTTCCCTGGGCTACCAGAATTGCAGATGAAAGTGCAAACCATCCTTGACCTTACTTAACCAGCAAACTGTTCTCCTCTCTCACATACAGAAATAACAATACTTTGGATGCAGTGTAGTTGTAGCTGTGTCCATCCCAGGACATTATATTATCTCTCTCACTTTTGAAAAAACAGATCGCTTTTTCAATGCACTTTGGCAGCATGAATGCTCTCTTTCAGAAGACATTTTTCCAGAAGATCTCTTCTGGAAAAGCTTCTTTCAAAAGAAGCCTGTAGTCTAGACATAGCTTCAGTGAAATCACTGGGAGGTAGGGGCCCAAAATATGTAGAAGAATCTGGTTGTTAACCTTTCTGTGACACAGTTGCCCCATCTATAAACTAGGAGTAATTATAATACCTACCTCACAGTACAGTAATGAAGCTTCATCAGCTAGGCCCTTTTTCAGGAAAGTTCAGGTGCTTATGATCATTCATATTCAGGAAAGCATGATTAAATGCTTTCCTGAATAGGGATGGTTACTTGAATCAAAGCTTTATATTTACAAAGTGCTTCAAGATCTCCAGATAGTAAGTGTTAAGTGCTATTGGTTATTTCTAGTTGGTGTCTAAATATGTACTTCATGTAAATTAGCCAAGGGATTTTGTTGTAATATATAACATCTCTTATGCACACTGATTTTTCAATTTCATATGTAATTTTAAACCACGCAGAGCTAGGTTAAGATTTATCTAAATGTTATTAAGCATTAGATGAAGCCAGTCTCTTCACAGCACATCAGTTTGTTTACATTTATACTGATCGTGTGCACTGTCTCTTTTATTCACAGAGTCTTTGGATGAATTATATTTTGTTGACAAAGTCTGAAGAGGAAGCAAAAGAAATCAGGTCATAATGCCACTTTCAAGAGCTGGCAAGTTCACTGTGAAGTGAAGTAAAGTAAAATTTACTACAGTGATTACACATGCAGAACAATGACTTTTTTCTCCCCTTAGAAGGCATTTTGTTCTAGAGTTCTTAATTTAAATAAATATTTTAATTGGCAAATCTTGAACAACAAGTGAAAAATTAATTCAACCCATTCAAAAGTAAGTTCCTCTGACTACAGAGCTGGGATTTTTTATTCTAGTTCCAGCTTTTTGCCATATGAGCCCAATGGGACAGCACAAAGATGAGAGGTTCAATAGTAAACCAATGAGATCATTTTTCCTTTTGTGCAAAAGTTTAAATAGCATTTACTTTTCAGCTAATTTCTGTTACTACTTTGCAAGTAGATACCAAAATAGATACCGTTCTTTTCTTTTGTCTGGTACAATACAGACAGGTTCTATCTCATCATAGTGAGATATGTAATCAGGAAGATTTGTACAGTATATAATTTTCTCACATTACAAAAAGGGTAGGATCTTTTCTGAAAAATGTATGAAGATGAAATCTCCTGGCTTATTTAAGAAATAATAAATATTTGCTCCTAGGAATTCCCTCTCACACACATTCTCTTTTCACACACAATAACACCTCTCAACTTCTCAGGGGTATATGGTGAGGCTAAATGTCTTAGTGTGTATCAGGTGATAAATGCCGATTCTTATGTCTCACACATACCCATACACTTTTATTCACATTTCTCAGCATCTGCTTATCACTCCTTCATCTTTCTTTCTTATGGATGCCATTATTGCCATAAGGTCAAACCTTCTGGACATAGAGGTAATCACAAATGGTAGGATATTTTGCTGCATTTTTGGGACCCTATTTCTGAGTGAGGGTATGTTGCAAGAGCAGCATGCAGTGAAGACAGTATTAATAACCTGTTTTGGAAAGTTGTGTTTGAAACTGCCTGGGACTTGAGATCCCAGAGGTCAGTCAGTGTTTGTTGAGTAAAAGCAGAACATTACCGATAAACTCTGTCTTCCTTCAAAAGTGAAGAGAGAACTACTGTCACCAGAGACTGAGGCTTGTGTACGCAGGTATTCCAACAGAACTGATTGGTCCTGCTTTTCTGTACTTACTGTATCATTCTTATGTAACTTCTGTTCTTTCAGTTTCAGTTAAAGAACAAATAAAATAATGGAAACACCTCTAGGAATGATACCCCATGCCCTGAACCAGCTTTAACTGATGCAAAACACAGCAGCCCATCTGCTTAGAAACACAGAGCAGAGCATGTGGAGTGGTGTTTTCGTGGTGACCTATTCTCTACACTGGATACCTATCAAATACAAAGTGGAGTTCAAGGTCTTAAGTTCAAGCTCTCAAGAACATTCAAAGCCTTCCATGAGAGAACTTTCACCCCTGCCACTATGGAAATAAAGCTGTCAGCCAAATAAGAGGCTCTTGAGTGCAGGAGATAGAACTTCAAAAGGAACCAAATCTAGATTATGTAAGTCATACTTGAAAGAGGTAAGAATGGCCATGAAACCATCCACTGTGAGAGCTAAACACCAGGACTGCCAACAGGGGCAGGTGAAAGGAACAATTTCCCAGTAGCCCGGGCCATTTAAACAGGTCTTGGGTGCAGAACTGATTCCAATACCACCTACCTGGCTGATTAGTAGAGCACAGACCACAGCATGCATTCAGGTGCCCCTATCCTACATAGCTCTGTAAGGCAGAAATGCTGAATAGAGA